ATCGAATCGCATCAATTAGCTAATTTTCCATCTCATCCGATCGTAAATTGATTTAATTGAACTTTAATTTCATTGTTCAAAGTTCCTAGCTTTCGGTTTCGTGGGAAAATTTCCTATATCTAGTTGAAAATAGGCGTTCATTGGTAATCTGGGTGAGGAGCAGATCTGGGTTCCATTGTTTGGTAGCCGAGAAAACGTAGGAAAATAAATCTTAATAAAATTCTGTGACTTTTTGCTTTTGTGTCCAGTAAATTGAAATCTTTGGCTCAGCCGAGCTGTGTATTAATTAGGTTCAGTTGCTTGGATTTTGTTTTTAAGATCAGCAAACAATTTGAGATTGAAATTTTTTTTTTTTTTTTTCATTACGTAGTTATATTAGTACTTATTACTAGATAGACTCTAAGATATTGGATCGAATTAATGGTGCACATCCCTCCGAATTTTTGTTTATATTTTAGAGTAGATGTATTTGATTCTCGGTTGTTCACGGCATAACTTGCTGAGTGCTTTTGTAGTTGAGCTCTACTAATAAGAAGTGTCATTGCAAGTGTGAGATTGCTTCTCTTTGAAATACACTGATTTCCTAAATTGTTGTCCAAATATCTGTAATGGTTGATTATGGCTCGCATACGACTGATATTGGGAACCTCCCTAATGATTTCCGCCATTCTTTCAGTGGTAGTCCCACTATACCAGATGATCGAATTGCCCCCAATGTTATAATTGCTGTTAATGCTTAAGAGTTTAGCCTAACCAAGCTACGTTTAGTTATATGTTGATACTTAGCTTGCTTTGATCGTTTCATATGTTTACTTTTTGTTCTATTCTTTGCAATGCATACCATGATGTGGTCTCATGACTCTCATCTCTGTCAAATTGCTTTTGTGCAGGAATCACTTTTTGGAATGATTGTTCTTTGTGTTGGTGTCAGTGTGGTTGGGGATATCTTCTGAATAGAATAGAGGATCGGAAAGGGTTATGCTCGATTTCTATTGACAGTTATTCTCAGTCCAAAAAAAAAAAAAAAATGGAGGATGATAATGGACTTGAACTTAGTTTGGGTCTCTCTTTTGGTGGATCATCTGCCAAAGCCAAGGGTAAAAATGGTGCTTCCCCAAATGCTAGAGCAGAAGAAGGTGATAGAAGCAACAAACTAGTGGATCATTTTAAGGACTTTCTTCATGGTGGGGCTCAAAAACAAGAATCTAGTAGTAGCTCTCAAAGAAGTGATTCAGTGAAACCTAAAGAAAACTTCTTCAATGACCTTTCCAAGGCCAGTGTTGATGCTGATGCATCAATGAACTTGAACGGGAGAGGAGTCTGGGGTGCAAACAATAACAAGTCTGATGAAACAGAGGAGGAGAAACAGACTGAGGCTGCTAATAAACGCAAGAATTTGTTTGACGAGATGAACCATCAAAAGAAGCATGAGAGAGAAGCTCATTACTCTGATATGCATGACAAGACAAAAGCATCACACATTTCCGTTACAGAAGATGGCTCAACTGCTGAAAATGAAGACGTGGCAGATTCTGAAGTGGAGGGTTCATCCTCAGTGCCAAATTCTCAACATGTTGAGGGTGCCAAGCGATTTGTTGGATCTGGTGACTCTTCTGATGCTCAGAAGGAAGTTCGCAGGTTTGCTGATTCCAAGGTTGTGGACCTAAATGGACTGGAGGGGTTTAATATCTCATCAGAAAATGAATACAAGCTTGGGAATATGGCGTATGGGAGTCCATTCTCAGTGCAATCAGTAAAGATGATGAACATGCCTTATTCTCTCCCGACAAAGGAATCTAATTCAGTTGGTGCGACCACCACATCAGGACATCCAATGCATGGGAAGATGCAGGCGATGCCTACGGTTACTGGTGAGCGAACAGGGACTCAACCTGTGAATCCTAAAAACTTGCCAGTTATGTTTGGCTATTCACCTGTCCAGCTCCCAATGTTTGATAAAGATAATGCCTGGGGTGCGATTCCTCATGCTCAACAATTCCATCCTGCCTATGCTGGCAGAAATCCTCCTAACTCAGGTAACTATAATATGGATTGGAACTTCTTTGTGCACGTTGGACTAGAGAGGATGGAAACACCTTACGGTTGTGGTGTACTCATCTGTTTTATAAAACGTATTGGACAAATCTCTTTATGTTGGATATGTTATATCTTATTGATAGATATTTTCCATTTCCATACATGAATAGCACTCTGGAGGCGTTCTTTTGTCAAAAATTATACTGATATTATTAGTGATACTTGACCAAAAGAAAATAATATTAGTGATACTTTTTTTTTCTCCGGTTGAATGTGATCTGTTCACTATGATTTAAGTCCAGATGGTTGAGAACAGATTCTTATCCTCCTTGTGTTGATGCAGCTATGATGCATGTCGCTTCATATAATTCATCTGATATTGCACAATATGATGGGAGGATGTTAGAACGGGCGAGAGGTGATAGCAAAAAGAATGTCACTGAAGAGGACGCATCTTCTCAGGCAGAAGAAGACACAAAAATAAGCAGCGCGAACCTCAGGATGAAAGAGGTACCTGACCGCCCAACGGCAGAGGACTTATCTCTTGATTTTTCATCTATAAAGCCAGGTATTGCTGCAGACATAAAATTTGAGGGATCTGGTTCCTCCCCGAATCTACCATGGGTTTCTACCAAAGGTCAAGGCCCCAATGGTAAGACAATTTCTGGTGTAACTTACCGATACAGCGCAAACCAAATCAGAATAGTTTGTGCTTGCCATGGCTTGCACATGTCCCCTGAAGAGTTTGTTCGTCATGCGAGCGAAGAGCCTTCTGATCCAGAAAGCGGCACTGGTTTGGCAACATTTCCAAATGGGAATCCCGCTGCCTCAGCTCAGACCTGATTCTGTGCCATGTTCGCTGTACGTTTAACCAGAGTAATAAATATTTATACGCGGTCTGGAAATCCCGGCGATGTTTTTGAACGCTTTACTCCGTCTTTGTGCTTGTGTAGTAATAACCTTCTTCAGTTCCTCTCAGTTTTCTCTCAACTGCTGCAATCAGGAATTGCAGGTGTATGTAATAATATTCCATCATTATTCTATTTGTGATATGAAGGCCAAGTATTTCACTTCTACTCTATTTTGTGATATATATACGTATACTACCGGAAAATACAAAAACCGAAAACTTGTATACGTAAACCTGCAAAGATGATTAGTTGATCAATGATTCTTATTAGTTTCGGATTAGCAATCTACAAACACTTTACAAATGGAGAATTCATGGATTAAGAGTCAATACTTTGGTTAGGGTTGAGCTGCTAATTTGTATCATTTAACTCTTGGATTTGGCTGTTCACTCACCATCCTCCATGTAACATGATGGAAACACTGGCGGATTTGTTGCTTCTGTGTAACGAAAAATGATTCTCTGAAAAATTGTGTTTTTCAGAAATAAAATATAAAGAATTTTTTAATTACGGGTAACGACAAAGCATTTCTCTTGTTTATTAGAGAAGGAAAATGATTTCCGCACCTTTTATTTTTTGGCGGATTGCTTGGACTTTTTTTCAGGGGCCTCAGAAGAGTTGTAACTTTCTCTGTGTTCTAAAGAGGATACGGTCCTATATAAAGCCCTCAGTTTCGGTGGAATTATCCTAAGGACTTGCCTGTCAACAACCTTGAAGAGGTCCCCTCTTCTCAACCAACAATATCCCACAATCAGAGCATACATTCCATCTCTCGGCATTCCTATTTTTCTTCATAGCCTTTAAATTATGAGAACTTTAACGAAAAGCTCCCAGTACGGTTCATTTTAACGAAAAACCATATTTTTACACTAAAAAGTCAATCCTGATATTATTCACTTTACCCTTTATTTTATCCTTATTGTTAAAACTTAAAGTTTTTAAACCATTTTCATTAGTTTTCCCTTAAATTATATTATTCAAAAGAGAAACAAAATTTTGAAACAAAAACACACAAAAGTGCAAATGAAGAAAACGAGAAAGTGAAGATCACCACATGATAGCAAATACTTGGCTTTAGTTTATTAAATTCATTAATTTATCTGCATGCTTAAATCAGAAAACTTAATTGTAAATTTTTTACAGGATGTTTGCCCTTCTTCTTCGTAATTAATCGAAAACTAAACACATTCGTCAAAGTGTAATTATGTGATGCAAAATAGTAAAGAATTCCATTATCAATTTTGTCGAATAAAGAACCAAACTAGTCTCAACATTTTTTTTTTTTTTGAACTGTGGTTTTCACTTCTGTTTTCTCTTCCTGCACGTTTGTTTATCCTGAAATGTCAACTCAATATCAAATTCAGACCAGTTCAAGGTTGTAGTTAGAAAACACAAAAAGCATTATCTGAGTTAGTTTCATCCCTAATTGATGCTCTATGCAATGAGGTCACCTAAGCTCGATTCAAACACTCAACCCTTTGACTTTCTCAGCTAATTTGCATGCACCATACGCAACCAACAATTTTGACTTTCATCCTCCAGCTAAAAACCCTAATAAACTCTTTAAAATTAGTCAAATCATAAATTAGTAGTCTCATTACTAAGCCTTTGAGAAGACAAAGTAATCCAATGGAGGGGACAAATTACATGTGAAAACCTCGTAACAAAATTTCACCTTACTAACCGAGTTATATGTTAGCATGAGTCGTCCACATGAGCATGAATAATTGTAAACTAATGATAAATTGTGAGCAACAATATTCAATCGCTAATCGCTTATACATTATAAACGTTTGTGTAAACGGGGTGAGGCTAACATTTTTTTCCTTTGGTCGGAGTTTAACCCGTCGTGTATATGCAACAAATTAGTTTATGATTTATCTTAACATAATTGATGTCATGTTGCAGGTGGTGCTTATATAATAATGTAGCCTGACATAAGAAGCAAATTTGTTTACATGCTCAACTCTCAATTATCTTAATAATTAATAATTAATAAACTCCAATACTATAAAAATGGTTTTATCAAATTAGACAGACATGAACAACCCAAGAAGTAACACAGAAAACTGACACATCACAAAACCAGATTGATATATACCCTTCCTGGAACAGACATTTCCACCCTTTTCCCCGAAACCTCAACTCCTCGACAACCATATATCTATATATATTCACATACACATACATACATATATATATATGTATATTTATAGTTCCTTTTAGCTTCCAAAGATGATTAGAATTTTGGGTCAGTCTCAAAATTTCAAATTTCCAAAGTTTCATTCAAGTTTGATTGGTTTTTTGCTTCTGAGTTTTCTGGTGTTCCATGTAGAAGCACAACCTACAGGCATAGAATATTCTACTGATGAACAACTAAATTTTCAACCAAGTGTTGCTTTGGTGATTGGAGTTCTAGCAATCTTCTTTTTACTGACTTTTGTCCTCCTTGTATATGTGAAATTCTGCCACAGAAGCGCTTATGTGGTAGGAAACAACCATCTCCGGTCAACAGGACTTGTCACCGCAAGCGCTCGATTTTCCGGTATTGACAAGACAGTGATTGAGGCCCTTCCCTTTTTCAAATTTTCTTCACTGAAAGGGTCGAAAGAAGGCCTCGAATGCGCAGTCTGCCTGTCGAAATTCGAAGATATTGAAATCCTCAGGCTGCTTCCCAAATGCAAACATGCTTTTCACATCAGCTGCATTGATTACTGGCTTGAAAAGCACTCAAGCTGTCCTCTCTGCAGGCACAGGGTTAGTTCTGAGGACTTAACTTCCATTACCTACTCAAACAGCATGAGGTGGATTAATCAATCAGAGCGCCGCCAGGACTCGAACATAGAGCTCTTTGTTCAGAGAGAGGAGGATCACAGCGGTTCTTCAAGATTCAGTGTAGGAAGCAGCTTTCGAAAAGTTGAAAATGTGATTGATGACGAACTGTTGATCCAAGAAGTTGCTGATGTGACAGAGGAAGGTCAGAAAGTCCTGCACAAGCACAAGCACAAAATTGTTGTTTCGGATCTTGAGTTTAAGAACAGATGGAGCAATGTGAGTTCCGCTGACCTCCTGTTCTTGAATTCTGAGATGCTTAACACGATGTCAAGCGATAGGTTCTCTTTCAGAGATTTAAATGATGAGCAGTTTTCGCCCACGAAAGCAACAGGAAATCAGGAGATTGTGAAGATTAGGGAGGAGATGGAGATGAAGAGATTGTTTGAGGACAAATTTAGTACAATGAGTGAACATAGTTCAGCTTTGGTTCCTTCTGCTTCAGTTAGCATAGAGACGTCAGCTCATGCCTCAAGTTCTGTGAATCAAGGCGAGAAAAGATCCATGTCCGAAATCACTGGTCTTTCGAGATTTGGGAATTTGGGTTCTAAGAACAGGACTAGAGAGCTTTCTCTGCTTGAAAACAATGCAAAGGAGGAAAGAATGAGGCGGCTTTGGTTGCCGATTGCCAGAAGAACAGTCCACTGGTTTGCCAACAGAGAGAAAAGGTCTCCACAGCCTCAACGGCCTTTAGATGTATAATTTGAATCAACAGAAGATTTAGGTTTCATAGGATTTAGGTAGTTTGCTTCGAAGTTTTAGAGTAATACACGCACTTTCAACGCTGTTTTATTTTTCGATTCCTTTGTAACAATACATCGTTCTAAATTTTTAAGGACACAGGTAGCTTCTATAGATGTCAATAGAAATCTTATACAAATATCAACTTCTTGAATCAATGAAATTATATGTTGTCGTTTGCTTTTGCTTCGGGAACATATTGCTTCTTTGCCAAGAAAGGAATTTGGATAACTGCAAGACATTACCAAAATTTTTAGAAGACAAATAAATCACATACAAAACTGAGCCGAAACATAGAGGTGACAAGTTACCTGCGAAAGCTCGTAACAAAAATTTCAATCTCTTTAACCGGTTTTCACCCTGCGTGCTAACGACTGCATTAGCTTATCTTAACATGATATGTTAATGTTTTCTTTTTCCTAGCAGGCATATTCCTCCTTTTCCATCACAAAAATTCTCTAAAGCTCGTAACGAAAATTTCAATTTGTGTAACTTCACCCGTCGAGCTAATGACTGCATTAGCTTAATGGTTTGTATTAACATGACTGATGTCATGTGGCAGCTGGTGTTTGTATTTATAGTGTATTTGTCTAAACCCTAATATACTGCAATATGAAAATAATAATCAAATTAGGACACACAAGAACTGCCAAAGAAGAAACCAAGAAAACTGAACTATCACAAACCAGATTGATATTTCCCTTAAACTTCAATTTCACCCACAAACATATATGTCTATATGGTTCCTTTTTTTGTTTGCAGAATGCTTCGAAAAGATGATTAAAATCTCGGGTTTTCAAGATTTTGATCTTCCAATGTTTCATTCATGCTTGTTTGTTTTGCTTCTCAACTGTGTGGTCTTCCATGTTGAATCACAAGCCCCAGATGTGTCTTCTGATGAAGGAAATAAATATCAATCAGGTGTTCATATGGTTATCGGTGTTCTATCTATCATGTTTTCGATAACTTTTGCGCTCCTAGTGTATGCCAAATACTGCTATAGAAGAGTTCCTGTTCGACAAAACAGTCTCCTGGAAACAGGACTTATCAGTAGTAGCTCTCGGTTCTCTGGGATTGACAAGACAGTGATTGAGGCACTTCCCTTTTTCAGATTCTCTTCTCTCAAAGGGTCAAAGGAAGGTCTCGAATGCGCAGTCTGCCTATCGAAATTTGAAGATATTGAGATTCTCAGATTGCTTCCCAAATGCAAACATGCTTTTCACATCAGCTGCATTGATCACTGGCTGGAAAAGCACTCAAGCTGTCCTCTCTGCCGGCACAGGGTTAGCTCTGAGGATCTCACATTCGATACCTTCTCGGATAGCATGAGGGTCTTGTCGAATAACCAATCAGAGAATCGACATGACTCGAGCATAGATCTCTTTGTTCAGAGAGAGGAAGATCGCCACAGTTCTTCGAGATTCAGCGTAGGACGCAGCTTTCGAAAAAGCAAAAGGGTGGTCGAGAAGGAAGATGAATTGTTAATCAAGGAAGAAGCTGCTTGTAGTGATGTGACAAAAGAGGATGACAAAATCCTGCACAAGCACAAACACAAAATTATTTTTTCTGCTCTCGAGTTTAACAACAGATGGAGCAATCTGAGTCCATCTGATCTTATGTTCTTGAATTCGGAGATGCTCAACACGGTGTCAAGCAACAGATTCTCTCCCACAAGAATAAACGATGAGCAGTTTTTGACCGCGAAAGCAACGGGAAATGAGGAGATTATGAAGATCAGGGAGGAGATGGAGATGAAAAGATTGTTTGAGAACAAAGTTAGCACAATGAACAAAAACAGTTCGGCTACAAACTCAATTGTTCCCTCTACATCAGATAGTACAGCAACTTCAGCTCATGCATCGAGTTCTACGAATCTAGGAGAGAAAAGATCAATGTCCGAAATCACTGCTCTTTCGAGATTTGGGAACTTGGGCTCCACGAACAGGACTAGAGATCCTTCACTGCTCGAAAACAATGCGAAAGAGGAAAGAATGAGGCGGCTTTGGATGCCGATTGCCCGAAGAACAGTCCAGTCGTTTGCCAATAGAGAGAAAAGGTGTCCACGGCCCTTGGATGTATGATGATTTTGGTATCAATTCATACTTTCAGTTTCCATAGATTTTAGGTTCTTTATTCACAACTTCAATATAATTGCTATCAAATTTCAAGCACCTACTTCTTGAATCCAATTTTTTTGTTTACTTTGACAAGGCGATATCACAAACTACTCTAATCTACATGGTGGGGGCTTCGAACTTGTTTTTCTCAAAAAAACCACCCTTGTTCCAAGAACAAAAATCATGCTATTTCCCTCAGTTTCAACAATTAATGATTGAAATCTCTTTTTACATTTCAAACTCTTTGATGAAATAATGATGAAATTGTTAGCCACCTAAATTTACACAAACCAACAACAACAATGATAAAGTCTTATTTCACTAAGTGGAGTTTGCTGTATAAATCATAGAACGTCATTGCACTCAGTTTTGCGCTAAGTCTTTCGTTAGCTTTAAACACTCCTTGTCTTTTCTTAGAGTCTCTTTCTAAATCCTCCTAAATTTACACCAAGCCAACATCAATTTATTTGTAGTTGACTTAAAAAAAATTATAAAATTACAGCTCCCACATTTTTAAGCCAAGTAAATTAATCTAATTAGTCCTTAAACTTAAAACGTCATGGTTAATCGTGTCTAATGATGATCACATCTGAAAACGACTTTGATGAAAAGATTTAAGAAGATGCTCTTTGAAGACATCGGACGGATCATTTTGATCTATTTGGTTGGAAAAATTCAACTTTAATCAGTCACTTGTTGTCTTCTCATGAAATTTAGAATCCTGAAATGTTATCATTATTTTTTATGAAGTCAACAAAATTACCCGTCACGGTTGTGGTAATGATGTCAGGAGCAGTCTGCTTCATTTGTCCTGAAGGAAAGCAGCCACTAATCAACTTTGCATGTTTATCTTAATTATCTATTAATCTTAATTTTTTGTTTTTGTCCTCACAAGTTGTCGTCGGCTTGATCCCTCTTAGTTATTCAATTAGGTTTCGTTTTGAAGTGTTTTTTAAAATGATTGAAAACGTTTTTATATAAAATATTTTTGGATATCAAAAACACAATTATTCCAAAATTCACTTACATATTACTAAAGATTGGTTTTAAAAAAAAATCACCAAAAGCATTTTCACCTATTTTAAAAGCACTTCTAAACAAGATTTTAATTTAGAGAGCTTTATATATAGAGACAAAAACTTTCACTATATTTCAAAAGAACTCCACTAGTTTTTAAACATGTCAAGGAGATACAAAAATATAAAAACAACTAAAACCCAGCCCAAAAAAATGGAAACAATGTTTTAAAATATCAATTATACCCATAAAGCTTTAGGGTTATTAATAGAGCTCAACCCTCATAACTCCAACAAAATTAATGTGTCATAAGCTCAACCCATCGTCAATTGTTTCTACAGAATCAGTTTTGAAACTATATGTAGAATCAGTTTGTATAATTTATTACTAGAATCAGTTCAACTCATCATCAACCATTTTTGCATAATCAGTTCAACCCGTTTTCGACCATTTTTGCAGAATCAGTTCAATCAGTTTTCGATCATTTTTGCATAATCAATTCAACTTGTCATCGACCATTTTTGCAGAATCAGTTCAATCCGTTCTCCATCATTTTTGCAAAATAAATTCAACCAGTCATAGACCATTTTTGCAAAACATCTTCGACTATTTTTGCATAATCATTTCAATCAGTCATCGATCATTTTTGCAGAATCAGTTCAACCCGTTCTTGACCATTTTTAGAATCTAAGTAATAATGTCAATTAGCAGAGTTCTGATGCTTCCTTGTACATCTTTGATATATTTTTTTTTTAATTTTTATAATTTCATTCGGAGCAATAAAGATGCTGAAGTTTATACGTTTGCCTTGGTGGTTTGGACTCTGGATCCTGAACCTGGAGGCTAAAGTTTATCTAGTGGATTGATGCTTGCATAATTAGTGCTTATTAAGTTTACTTTGTTGCCTAGTTGGTCCTTGGATAAGTTGGTCTTTGTTTTTAGTACTAGCTTGGTTTGTTTTATTTCTACACATCTTAATTTGATCTTAGTTGTATTCAATCTATGCACATGTTGGTGATTATTAAGTAATATCGATTTTCTTCCACAATATGCGTATTAAGGGCTAAACAAACTACACCGGTAAGCTAAAACTTTTAAAACAGTGCAAGATTCATCATATTTTTCATAAAATATATCTCATTTCATTACACAAAACTCAGATTCACAATACTTATACACAATTAAAGAATTCGATTCAAAATTGATATTTGACTAGAGCCGCCATTCAATAAAAAAACCTCCAACCGAACATGAGGAGAGGTGGGTGACGAACATTTTGCCACCTTTTTTTTTTTTTTTGGAAAACTGGAAATAGCATTCCAAGGCAACAACCAACATAGTACACACAAAGAGCCCAGATACAAGATTAACACAAAGCAAAAGTGGGCCCAAACCAAAGCCCATAGAAAACTAAGTACAAGCACAAACGGGCCAACAAAGTTAAACAACAGAGCCCAAAAGATCAAAAGAAACCCTAGTCTTCCACGTCCACCGCCTCTGCTACAGTGAACCACCACGAGAAGCCAGCCTTCCCACGGCCAACCGACAAACTCCTCTCCAATCACAACCACAAGGGATGAAACAAGCCACGAAGGGGAAGAAGTCCGTGGCAAAACCCGGGCAACGCTGCCAACAAGGGTGGCACACTGAAATGCTTGAAGCCTTGGTTGGCTCCCATATGTCAAATATGGGTTGCCACGAATATGATTAGAAATTAAATGTGGGTTTGACGTTAATCACTTCAAGTACCATCTCATTATTGTAAATATAAAAACTAATAAAAATAACTTGAACTCGTAACAAAAGGAGATATAGCTCCTGATAGAAAATGATAAAAAAACCTCCCTCAACAATTCCTTTTCGAGGGGCATGAATAGCCAAAACACAAGCACAGTTTCACTCTTCGTGGGTTTATGATATCTCAATAATTATCCATTTTGCTTTTCGAATGACAGTCGGTTTATCTACATATTGATTTCTATGTTTTTAAATTTTAAAAGAAAGGGTTATTAGATATAAAGGGTATTTTTGTAACTTACACTCCATACAAGAAAATATATGAGGTCATCTTCTACGTGTATTAATTTTTGTCTCTTTTTGAAATATTTAAAAAGTGTTGTCTAAATATACAATTAAGTATTAAAAGTATACTTTATGTGTAATTTTTCTTTTAATTTAATTTTGCTATTGTCTAATTCAAGACAACGTAACTTGTAATCAATTATTCATTTAAAAAAAAAAAAAAAATTTCCTGCACTATATAAATATATGATGACCCCATTTGTGATAGTACTCCTATACTTTCTTAATTGGAATAGGATCCAATAGGTGCTCTCTTCTCTCTGTTTGAAGATCCTTCTAGAATGCTTAAGAGCGTTTTTTTTTTAACTAAAATGCTTTAGCAATATTTGGCAAAAATAATTAAAAGCGATTCTTGATTCTAAAAGCAGTTTTCGATGCTTTGTGGACAATGTACTTCTTCAAGAAATACTTCCACTAGATTCTTCATGAAATAAAATAAATAAATTGTCACCCTCCAAGATAATTTCTAGCATGAACCATTGAACCCGCATAAACGCAAGTACTTCATACAAAAGCCAGCCTTACCCGCAATAATTGGGCGTAAAGTGTATGTAGGTGACTTTTTAAGTCCTCAGTTGAATTTCAAGCTCAACTCTGAACATGTGGTGAAAACTACCAAATTGGAGTACGCAAGAGCAGAGAGAATTTCCGATAGAGCGGTGAAATACGTAGAGATCAGAAAGAACACCAGCGAATTAGTTTGACAAAGTAAACACATTATGTTGATGAAAGTTGCAGACCCACATTTAAAGGTGGTAAGGTTGGTTCCGTCAGTTCTTTAGGATGCTCTAACATACCTGATATTTCAGTTGTTTTAACCATTATATCTTTATTTTAAAAACAAAACTAAAAAATTAACGATTAAAACATCCGGAATACCGAGATACATCGGAGAACCCCAAGAGTTTTTGTGGTTCCATTTGGAGCTCCAAGTGGCACTTGCAACAAGTGAAGCAAGTTCATGGTCAAGAGTTGAAGAACATGTTCGGCCCCGCACACAACACTACCCAAGTCCGCGATGGTGTCCCGACCCTATGTCCCGACCCTATGGCCGAACAACCAAACATTTTTAAGCCTTGGCCCTTGAAATCGACAAGCTATATGAGTATTTGAACAATCAAAGCATCAGAGAAAATGAGAACAAGATTTAATAAAACTTGCTGGAGATCAATCAGTAAGGTTTTCCATTACTCAGAGATCCATGTATCTGCAACACATAAGAAAATGATACAAGCGAATTCCAACAGTAATCGATACGAACAATGAATACTAGGAGACTCGCGAGCCGTAGAAGTACAACTGGAAACGTATAAATTCATCAAGGAATGACCCCTCATTCATCTACACATATACGTATTTACAGAGGGGAGAAATTCGCCGAAAAGAAAAAGAGAATGAAAGGAACAGAAAATTCATGAACCGGCCTCTCCATGAACTAGTCAAATGGCTATCAGCAGCGGCCTGTGATCCCAGAAGATATATACTCTTCTAATGCAGCTACTATGTAATCACGTAAAATATAACGGGACCACAGGCAAGGTGAATCTCAGGATTGTAACTTCTGCATTTCCTCCATGGGTTTTGTACGTCCTCTGAGTCAAATCTCACAGCAGAGACGAACCCCCACCTGGAAATTTTTTACAAATGTGGGAATTCGTGTATTTTTTATCCTTCTACCAGTCGTCAAACCATTCAGGAGTTTCGAGTTCTTCTCCATTTCGAGATGGAGAAGCTAGAGGAACAGAACAGTCCTCGGAGTGACTTCCCAAATGTTGAGTTATACGAGAGGTGATCTCATGAGGAACGGGCAAACTACGGTCTTTGATCCCTTCCCAATCAGTGCCATCAAACCAGGGATGCCTTTTGACAGATTCATAACCTTGGCTTCCTAGTCTGGTGTTTTCATCAACCTCGAGTAACTGAACATATTATTATAAATAGAAGCATGTGAAAATTCCTTAAGAGAGAGAGAGAGAGAGAGAGAGAGAGTAAAAAGATTCCTACAATACCTTAGTGATGAGATCGACAACTTCAGGACTAAAAGTTTGCGGTAGAGTTAGTTGTCCCTTTGCGATCTTTGCAAATGTATCAAGCTCACTTTGTCTCCATGAGCCGAATGGCATTTCACCCCGTAGCATGAAGTATATCAACACTCCTAATGCCCACCTGCAAATTTGCAAACAAGTTCAGGACTGCAGGAGGTCTCAGAAAGATATGGTCAAGGCAACCATAAAATAAAACAATATGAAATATATATACAACTTCGATCTCAATGCCTAAAACTTCAATAATTCCGCCGTTACCAACAAAAGAAGGGATCTGTTTCCATCTTAAAACTTTTCCCAGAGATCTTAAACAAATCTAGATACTTGCAAATCTCACCGGATTTCCTAGTAGAATCACATCTTCTCGCAAATACACTCAAAGTCCTCTAGCATATATTCTCACTATACCATTAATCCTAATACTGATTTTGTAATTTTATGAATATTTCTGTCGAGAATTTTATATCAACACTTAGTGGGATAAGGCTTTGTTGTTGTTGTTGTATGAATATTTCTGTCAAGCATTTTCCTCTAATTTCTTGCAAATTCTCTAAGCCTCCATACTGTCTAATCCTGAATAATTTACTTCTTATAGAATTTATTTCATATTTTCATGAAAAGCTACATAAATTTTTAGTGATGTATAGAATATCTAGTTTAGGATAAACAAAGAATGTATCGCCTTATTACCAGTCAGATGGAAAACCATGGCCTTTTCCCTGGACTACCTCTGGAGCTAAAAAGTCCACCATGCCACAAATTGTATATGTTCTTTCGCCGGATAACTTCTTCCCAAACTTGAAGTCCACTAGCTACAATATAGCAAAATTTTAGTAATTAAGCATATTTCATCTTCCCCCTCTTCAATTATTCCAGCGTCAATCCAGATACTATGAATGAACACGATTTGGTATGAAAAACAAAACATTACAAACCTGTAAATATCCTGTTTGGTCCAACATTAAAACATCATGAGACAACCCTCTGTAGAGAACGTCATTCTGAAAGTCAAATTACAAAGAAAAATAAAATGAGAGATGTTGAGAAAGAAAGATGTTACTTAAACAGTCACGGCACTAGGAGTTAAAACAAAATGGTGGAATAAGCTATTTCCAGACGATGGACCTTGTGGAGATCTGCCAACCCAGCAACTAGAGAGGCTGCACAAAATTTGGCAGACGGTTCATCAAGGGGAGTGTGAAGTATCGAAGCCAACGGACAAGCAAGGCAAGTATTAAACAGTATGCCAGCATGTGTCTGATCAACACATGTGCACAGAAACTGTGGCACACACGCTGAAGAGCTCATACTCTTGATTAGATCCTTCTCTTTTAACACTTGCGCTTCCTTTCCCATCCTTCTGACCATTTGCTTTGAAAACCTTTTCAAACTGAGCAATTTTTCTGATAGGCAATCAGATTTAACAAGAAGAATTCCTGTCAGCTTATGTACTGTTTTAAACAAAAATAAATTCTTCTCAAAATGTTGCATCTACTAATTGGTCTCCCCCATTCGATGCAGTATACGTTATTGACTTCTTTGTCTAACAAATGATACATCATTTATTGCTTCAACATAAATCCTGCATCATGTAGAAGCCCAATCTAACAAAATAAAACCAAAAAATGAAACGAACCCTAAAACACAAACAACCAACCTGAATCTCTTAAACGAACAACTCCAATTTCACTGCAGTCAGTGCTATACAAAATTGTTCTCCATTCCTAAAATGGAAAAATATATAGCATCAACGAATGACACAATAACTCAATTAAGCATTTATCCTTAGAAACTCAGAAACATATAAACAAGCAGGACACTCAATTCCATACTAGATCAGACAACTGGACTTCAGTAAGAGCAGACATATCAATATTCTTGGCAGATTCCTTTGGAACTTCTGAAGAATAATCCCTTGACCTACAAATGACATCAACCAACAGCATCAGAAATATGCAACAGTCATGAGATATCCTGTCTTATAAAAAAAAAAAAAACTTTAAGAAACTGTCATTTGCCATTAGAGAGTTCCAGTGTTAAGCATGGACTTCAAAAAGGTAGATTAGTAAAATTTATGAACTGAGACTTCCAGAGTAACATACTTCTGATCATCCTGAGAAATCTTTGTCAAAGGGCCAACGGCTGAATCAAAATTTTCCTTCGTTAAAACAGCACAGGTGACATCTCCCACAGCAACTGCTCTAAACAAATCAATATGTTCTCCAAGAAGTGCCCATTCACCAAAGCAGCTTCCCTCCGTCTTCTCCACTGAGAGTTCTTTACTGCTCTGAGGATAATCATCTTCTTTTTGATAGTCAGACTTGAGACTCCGGACAACTGAACTACTAGCTGAAATTGCATCAAAAGTAATCCTCACTTTTCCCTTCTGGATAATGTATAATCCAACTAGGTCTTCACTCTGCATATACATGTGAAATACACATCAAATATAGGAATAAAGAGTAAATGATATTCTTAACAAAAATAAAGTACCTTACTGACTATTGTCTGGCCTTCTGAAAAGGAAACTTCAGACAGAGAATCGGCGATATGGCTCAGCTGTAAGATTGTCAGCCTCGATAGAAGATCCACTGATCGAAGCAACTTCAAATATGACAAATTAGAAAACTCTGATGTTAAAATTCCACGGAAGTCTTCTCTTTTCAAAGCCCAAAGAGTTCCACTGGTCACAGCTCGAACGGAGGCCTGTAGTGGTTTGTTATGCCTGTAGTACCATATATCCCAGAATCAATTAAATAGAAATTAGAAAAACATATGATGCACTATTACAAGAGGAATCAGACAGACGAAGGAAAGCCTAAACAGCCATTTCCTAAACCAACAGATAAAAAAGGTAGAAATAATTAACTCACATTAGCGCTAGTTCCCCAAAGGATGACAGCTTATCAGCTGTATAGCGCTGCAGAACCCTTGGAACCTCTCCATTCTTTTCTTCCTGCCATGATCATATCCAGTCAACAAAAAAGCTGTGGGGCCTCATGAAAATTACCCAAATGAATTTCAAGTAGAAAAAGGATATATTTAAAACCTGGGTTGCCAACACCTCAAATTCTCCACTGCCAACAACATAAAAGCAGTCACCTTCACCACCCTACAAAATACAATAATTGTTACATGTAATATAACCACACAAAATCGTAACATTTAACTTCTCTATATTTTGTACATGGAGTCTGTAGGCTGTTTTTGGCAATGGATCCGCATTGTGAATGTAACTTCAAAAATTAAACTAATATTGCAACCCTATGGACCACTCATTTACTAGGCAGGAGGTCCCGGTAAATTAGTTACATAAATTGTAAATATGTCTGTTTTAGTTACATAAATTTCTTGGCCATAGGGGTAAGCATGAGTTTGTATATACTATTTTCTTCTTTCTGTAGAAGTTCACGATCCTGAATCCTGCAGTTGTAAAAGCATTCCAAGTAAATTTGAACTACACCCGAATTGATAGGCATTTTACATATATTAATTCTTTTCAGATTGGTGATGTGATAAGTCCATGTCTGCCACTCATGACTCTGCCAAAAGCACTACAATTATGCGCAAGAGCAATGAAAGGCTATCGCTATAAACAAGAAAAAGGAAAAATTAAAGAAAACGAACCTGTCTAACAACAACATCTCCAGGCTGGAACTCAACCCTTTCCATGCAATCCAATAACACCTGACACTGAGAATCAGTAAGCTTTCTGAAGAGGAAATGGTCGTGCAAACCCCGCTGAATGTGTGCCTATTTACCAAAAGCAAATTTTCAGAGTAAGAACTCGCGATAAAGAAATTGGCATAATTTCTGCTCTTTCATACAAATCACGACGAACAGAAAGCATACTTCTTCCTCCCAAGTCTTTCTGTGGGATGGCGGTGGAGGAACCCAAATTTGCCCATTTTCTAGAGAACTCTCAATCACACGAAGGCGTGCCCTTGACAAATCATGTCTGGTGCGCTGGTTGCTAGAGTTCCACCCAGTGGGTGAAGGAGATTCACATCCTGTAACCTCTACAACTTGAGGAACAGTTGGTCGTAAAGCAGCAGCAGGGCTTACTGATTGACGGATGGACGTCTATAATAAAAAGACATTATTAGTTGACTACATTTCAGCATATCATATTCACATGAAGACAATGCACAAAAAAGGTCATTGTTTGGACAGCAAGTCCTCTTACATCAGTCAGCCCATTTACATGCACAACGATCACTGTAATATCATCTGTACGAGTTTCATACTGCAGCCAGAGTTTATATGATTCAGCTACAATTGCAGCACAAGCATCACGGGGATCTTTAAATTTTGCAACCTGTAAATATAGTAACAGAATCAAGAGAAGTGGAAAAAATAGAAAAAACCATGAAGAAATACTCAACCAAACTAAACTCATCATGCCCAACAATAAGAAAGCAAACAAACAATCATAATCAGTGGCAACGAACTTATAAGCATTCAATAATCAGAGATAAATAAGTCTAACAGATTCCACACTTGAATTGCAACAAAGAGAAAGCAGGATACCTTACCATATCCACCACAGCTTGGCTAGAAAGGAACTCAAAAACTCCATCACTAGCAAGAACAAAGAAAGGATTATTCTGTGTAAGCTCTAAAACCACGATTTCAGGGTTGGCAACAACCCCAATTGTCTCAGCAGTCGAATCACCAATACTCCTCGTAAAAGCTGTTCCAGGATACATTCCGTTTGGCACCCACAATCTAGGTGGATCACCATCATCGCCTTCTTCGGTTCCCCAACACTGCACATCTGGATTCTTCAGCCCTTCAATCTGATCCAACGTAAGAACTCTTGCACCACAAAGCTTAACCCTTTCGAGCTCGTCCACTCTAAATGGGGTTTGATCAATTGAAAGATCCACAGCCACGATGTCATCCCCTTTCCTCTCTGCCATAACGGCCCTTGAATCACCCGAATTTGCAATGCATATTGTCCTACCTCGAACCAAAACCGTAATTGCAGTTGTCCCGCTCATGCTATCATCCAAACTATCAGCGTGCAACTGAGAATTGGTTGCAATAAACGCAGAATGGCACGCCTCGACAGCATCCACTTGAAACTTATTATTCCTAAGCAAATTCTCACACAACTTTCTTTTCACAAACTGCGAACACTCAGCTCCGAATTCTCCATGACCATCAAAGACCCCAAAGAAATGGTCATCCGGATTTGTCCCGAATGGCGTGTGGATGCAAAAGCTATCTTGGTTAGCCTTATCAAGAGCATCAGGGTAATAACCTCTCTGAGACAAAAAAGAATACCGCATTTCGAAGTTTCCCGAAGGAACCTTCACAGTTCTTGATCCATTGGGAGGCAGAAACTGTGATGAAACCCTACGGAGCCTAGTGATACCCACCTCAGCATCCCCAGTTAAGTCAGACTGGTTGAACTGGTCTTGAAGCTCACCTACTTCTCCATTGGAGGAAGTAGGAGAGAACACTGGGATCTCAGTGCTCCTCACATCCTGATTCTCTTTCAATTTCGGAACTCTCGGAGAACAAACCTCTCCAATGCAAACTCTCGAATACACACAACCCATCATTCAAAAACACAAATTGAATCGAACCCAGATGCCAAATTTACCTGAAAATTCATCAGTTTCAAGTTCGAACGAGCTCAATCACTCTGCAACCCATCACTCGAAAAAGCAAATCGAAAGGAACCCAAATGCCGATTTTACCAGAAAATTCATCAGCTTCGAGTTTGAACGAGCTCAATCACTATACAACCCATCATTCAAAACTGCAAATTGAATCGAACCCAGTTGCCAAATTTAGCTGAAAATTCATCAGTTTCGAGCATTCGAGTTCGAACGAGCGCAATGACTCTGCTTCCTCTGCTTCTTTGAGCAAAATAAATGAGATTTTGTTGGATTTTTCTCCAGCCTTATCTTCCACAGCTGCCCAGAAAACTACACTTTCAGAGAATGAAAGGAAACCGACCCCCCAAAAAGTATTAATTTCCAAAACCTTTATGAGATATTCAAACTGTTAGATATTGTCCAGCAAATTGGAAAGCGACGTTCTTGATCTACTGTGCCTCTCACAACAACCGTTACAGTAAAATACAATAATAGAAGCAACTAAACGCACTTCTGGAAAAGCACTTCTGAATGTGAAATATTGGAAAACAGAGAGTTGGGTTCTGCAGAGGAAGCCCAGAAATCTGTTTGCTTGAGTGACTCACTCAGCAGGTACTTTGCTTTTGCTTTGGGGAAGAGTTTGGGATCGGGGAAGAGGGAAGGGGAAGGCGCGTGGGGACAGGGAGTGGTGGGGTGCGGGTTGCGGATTAGACCGGTGTCACGTGTCAGTGTTGGCCTATGCAAATGTCACTGCATGTGTTTTTGTGGACGATGCTATTTCCACGCTCCGTGACGGGAAGTGTTCTTCACTTTCATGTTTTTATGGTACGTTTGTTTGGAAAAGTAAATTTATAGTAATTCTCACTTCAATATCTTAAAGTACATCATTTTTCAAACTTTTATTCATCAAGTTTTTTCTATTTTAGTTTCATATATAAAGTTGCGCTTTTCTTTTATATTCATACTTCTGTTAGATTGACCGTTAATAATTATGTTAGTAAATGTTGTCAAATGGTGTCCAATCACGAGAGTGTGCGCCAAATGGCGTTCAATCATGAAAAAATGAAAATTTTCAACTTTAATCATAATTCCGACAATGCAACTTACTGGTCACGACAGTGTGTAACATTTTTCAAATCTTATCTTTGTAACTTAGTGTTGTTTTGTAAAAAGATTAGTAATATTTTTTTTCTCGTAATAATTCATAAAAATTCTTTTCTATATATAATTAAAATGATAGATGAAAAATGATGCGACCATTCTCTAGGATTTCTGGCATATATAGATTAAGGATGTTGTTGAGAGATCATCTACTTAAATTATATTTTGTAGATCACATGATACGACAATTGTTTGCTTTATTACTTTTTTTATTATTTAAACAATAAATTCAACCATCAACTTTCGGTGCCACTCTTACAAAATATGATTTGTAAAATGGTCTTCCTACCATTTTTCGTAAACTAAAAATTTAGTGGTTATATGGGAAATGAAAACGACTTTGTAGAATGCGTCCCTTGTCACACTTTGGTTTCTTTTTTCACGCAATAATTGAATTATGCTTTTACCAAGGTATGTGTGCATATGACCATCTTCCATACTTTGAATGAGAAAGCCTCCCACGTTCACTCGTAATCACATAAACTTTCCCTAGTGGCCCTTCACTTCGAAAAGATATGCATGCCCCCTTGAATTAACCTTGATTTTTTTTTTTCGGACTTCAGAATAGTGGACTGTCGTAGCTAAGCCTCCAACTAATTTCTTTTTGAAAAAAATTGAAAATTCGTGTGTAGTTTAAATGTGACCAAAGGTGGGCGGAAATATCTTTAGCCTTTTCGAGTCCCACTAAAAATTAGTCCTATACATTGTCGGGTGTGGGATACCTCATGCTTAGACAAAAACAAGCAAACAAATGGTACGATCTTTCTTTAGTCAAGTGATACTAGCTATAATCTGATCTATATTACTAAAAATACGAACTTGTGCATAAGATGACACGTTACCTCAACCAACTTGACAACACGAGATTTGCGATTTCTTCCCTTTTTAGACTTTGCTTGCAATCAAGTGATAAGAACCAAATTCTTTGCTTTACTTACACCGTGATTCTTCATGATACGTTCTAAGTAAACCATGTAAATGTTTCTGTGGTGAGCTTGTAAGTTACGTGCACATTATAAAAACAAGAAAGCGTGTGACGCTGCTTCTGCTTTTTAGGGTATACTTTTTAAGACGAGAACATGGATCATGATCGCATTCCTGTGGGCGTGGGAAAATGGTGGAGCAACCAGAAAAAGGGTAAATGTGCGGCTGTGGATGGTGTGGCCTCTTAATGTTCTTTTACTTTACTTTATGTGGGAAGAAAAATCATAAAGAAATGGACAAGTACAAATGAATGAGTGAACACTCAGCAATTAAATAGGGTTTAGTAATAAAGTTGTCATCATGATTTTCAATTAGATTAAGAGTAAATTGTAGCTATCAAAACGTGATAACAAATAGTTATAGTTATTTTCAACTAAAAATTCATTACTATTGGTCTTTCAACTCATCAAAACGTGTAGTTATGGTCCCTCAACTAAAAATCTATTATCTTTGGTCCCTCAACTTTAATTCAACTGGAGAAATTGTCCCTTAACTTTAACCTAATTGTAGCAATGATCATTCCAACATAACTCGTTTTGACAAAAATTTTGACGTAGTTGACGAAAATGATCATAATTACACACTTTGATGAGTTGATGGATCCTAATTATATAAATGGTTATTCCAATTTAACTTATTTTGACAAAATTTTGAAGAAATTGATGAAAATGACTATAGCTACACATTTTGATAAGTTGAGAGATCAGTGGTAATAAATTTTTAATTGATGAACCATTGCTACAATTTACTCTTAGATTAAATAGATGATAATCGGTAGTTCTTCCCTAAACATGGTTTACGCTTTACTATAAGCACATATTGGTAAGCCGCTAGCGGTGAGAGGAGGTTGATTAATGAAGGAACACGCAACCATCAGCATTCGAAACTTTCTAACAAAGCAAAGTAAAAACGTAAATGATCAACGTATTATTAAGCATGCACAGATGACATTTCTAAATAACATGTCAATTACGACACGTATCGACATATTAAAAAGTTGATTAGATAATTTAGATATCGATGTATGCTAAAAGTCATACCTGATATAAAGAATTTTGATAATACTAGACATGTCTAATTTGTGGGATGGAGACTTTATGACATAGTTTGGGTAGGGGGCTGTGAGTCTTGTGACTAAATTGCGAGTCAGTGTCAATTTCAATGGTGGTGGAGATCAGATGAGTGATCTACCGTTCCGTGCGGTGGTGGAGATCAGAGCCGTGACTCATGAGAGGGAATGGGATTCACTATAGATTTTTGTGTCCAGAGTCTATCGATCGAGACAGTGCTGATCCTGAAAATTTAAGAGCTTTGTGTAAGATTTAGATGAGGCCCTTCGTTTTTTTAATACTGTATTTTCTTAGCCCTTCGTTTTTTTAATACTGTATTTTCTTAGTTATTTTAATAAATTTGCAAAACTTAAAAATAGTAAAACAGTTCCACAATGACTTGAACCCAAGCCATATATAAGAAGATCAAAGGTTTACACCACTAGCGCTAGTATGACAATTATTATTATCTTGCGTATTTAAATATATAATATTTATCTGTTTACATGTAAAGAAAATTTGAGGGCCTTTCTGAATCGGAGGTCCTGTGCGGTGGCACCTTTTGCACACCCTCAGGGGCGCCTCTGGATCGAGAGATGTGGAACATTTAAAAGAGAGAAAGTGATTTGGGTTATTTAAATTTTTATGAAGTGAATGAGTAGAATGAGCTAATAGTGATCGTAAAATTCAAATTCAAACGCCTTGATCCTTTCGATTCACGAGCTTCGAACATAAAACTCCAGAATAGATGTCAATCCTCATGAGTACCGACTTGCTGCATGTATCACATCAGCTTTGGACAAACCCTTGCCACCCCCAACTTAAATTTATGGCCACCGCCATGACCTAGCTACTTAGATCAACATCTGCATGTACGTATATGTTATACGATATATGCATGTACGTGGTTCTTGCTCATTGGTCGGTCATAACTCATGCATATTGCATGGGACGTACCTCACTTGTTTTTCACAAACAATATAATTTTAGGAAAATTAATGAAAATGGTTTGAAAATTTTGAGTTTTAACAATAAGGGCAAAATAAAGGGTAAAGTAAATATTACTACGATTGACTTGTTAGTGTAAAAATGTGGTTTTTCATTAAAGTGAACAGTACCATGAGCTTTTCGTTAAAATTTCTTATAATTTTAGGGGTTGGAGGATAGGATCTCCATCAGACATGACAAAATAATACACAAAATTTGTACGTGGTAGTTTAAATCAGATCTTCATTTCGGTACAACGAGAGGGAGTTTACTATGCAAGAGTTTCTATGCCTAACGACGTCATCGAAGTTTTTTGTGATAAAATCTAATACCTAGCAATAAATGGTTAAGTTAGAACAATATCGGTGATATAGGCTGGTGGACCATACTAGGCCTAAAAAGTTTGTTAACAGGATCTACACGAATTCATTTAAGCTACTGAGAAATGAAATCGTATACAACACCTCAGAGTGTAAAAACAAATGTTTTTACCAACGTACATCCATCTTTTAACTATATATTACCTTAAAGGTGCATATCTAGAGGCAAAAAAAAGAAAAAACAAAAAAGTATTCTTGTAAGGTAATAAACAAAATCATTTTTAAGTAAATGTTGTCATGTGTATTAGTTGAGTCAAGACATGTGCTCTAATGTCGTGATAAATATGGTATTCAGTTTCTACTCATGCATCTTGGGGTCTCGGCTTTGAAACACAAACCCACAAATAGATATAGCCCAATAAGATTAATCAGGCTTCGTATACATGTTAACAAATTCACTTGGAAAATTATTGGGCCTTGGGCTTTCACGTGCCCAAACACTACCAAACCAATCGGGTGCGTTTCCGCAGAAATGAGGCTATTAATGGGCCTTGGGCTGGGCCCAACTTGAAAACAAACCAGAAGTAGCTCCACCCTACCCCACAGGGGGGACGCATATCATATCAGAGCCAACCTCGTCCACGACCGTTGGATCTCCAAAAAATCGCAATCGAATCGGAATACGAAGCGGCAATGCTTCTCCTCTCACTTCACTCCACTCCACCAGTCACCACACCTCCAGGCCTTCCCATTTCTTTATTCTCTCTCCTGTTTTTCCCCAAAAAATAATAATTCTTCAAGCTCCCAGAGGAGAGAGAGAGAGAGAGAGAGAGGAGAGAGAGAGATGGTGGGGATAATTCCCATGGCGTCTTCAATCAGACCTTCGCTCTCGACGTTGAGGTTCGCCGGAGCTTCTCGCCTGGGCCTTTCCCTCGCTTCCTTCACTCCTTCAAGGCGACTCGCTTGCGTCCAACTCGCTAGTGGTAAATATATATACGAAGTCTGCCTTTTTCTCCTTACCCTTTTGTGTTAAATCCTAAATTTGCTGTCTTTTGATCTGAATTCGTCGATTTTTGGTTGAATTGGGGTTGTGGGGATCTTAATTTGGTTGTATATATGCGTAATTTGATTAGTGTGGAAGCACTTGATTGGAAATTTTATAGAAAGTTTAGGATTTGATTGTTGAGGCTGTATTTGTTCTTGATAATCAAGTTACGGCATTGACAATGTGATTTGATAAGGTTTTGTGATCATTTCGACCTGCTTGATGATTTTGAATTGTATACCAGCTGTGCCTCAGTCGCCGTCTTTCGGTCTGAAAGCTTCTAAGCTGTTGAGAGGAGATGGTAAAACCACGGGGGTAGCTGCTGCTGGAAATGCCGCACAAGCTAGCACGACAGCTTCCCCCGAAAATGTCCTTGAGTGGGTCAAACAGGACAAGCGGAGGATGCTCCATGTTGTTTACCGCGTTGGAGATTTGGACAGGACCATAAAGTATGTCTGCTCAATGCAACTTGAACCATCCTGTTGATTTGATATATTATGTCCTGTTTTCCTATGATTATAATGAGACAGCGCAGAGTTCACACATAGAATTGTGTTGTGCCCCGCAGATTCTACACAGAGTGCTTGGGAATGAAATTGTTGCGAAAACGTGACATACCCGAGGAAAGATATACCAATGCTTTTCTTGGGTACGGGCCAGAGGATTCCCACTTTGTTATTGAACTCACTTACAGTAAGGCATCCAACTAGTTTTCATCAATTTTTTTCCAAATGAAAGCATTACGTGCTTTGAACTACTTCCATAAGCACTTTTCACTTGATGGCACTTCCAGATTATGGAGTTGACAAGTATGATATTGGAACTGCATTTGGTCATTTTGGTATTGCTGTTGAGGATGTAAGTCATTATTTTTTGTTAAATTTTGTTCTTTAAGCATGCCTGATGCGGCAAAATTTTATGGCAATTTGTTATATTCCTGTTGTTACTAGTTTTGTTGACTGTTGGGGATTGTCTGTTCTTAAAGGACATCTTCTTCGACCTTACGTATGTTTTTGTGGTTAGGTTGCCAAGACTGTGGAGCTTGTAAAAGCTAAGGGTGGCAAGGTAACTCGCGAACCTGGTCCAGTCAAAGGGGGCAAAACAGTAATCGCATTTGTTGAAGATCCTGATGGTTATAAGTTTGAACTTTTGGAAAGAGGGCCTACCCCAGAGCCCTTGTGTCAAGTTATGCTTCGTGTGGGTGATCTTGACCGATCTGTAACTTTTTATGAGAAGGTAAGAGTTGTTTGGACAGAAATATGCTGTTTGCCTTTCATGTGTTTACTGTTCATTGCTAATTTGTTTTCGAACTCATTTGCTTTTGGTTCTCAATTCTTGTTTCCTTTCCATTCATCTAGGCTTTTGGCATGGAGCTCCTTCGCAAAAGAGATAATCCGGAATACAAGGTAGCTTTGCTTTTTTCAGAGATTTGTGGTTTTTCAGTATTTTTAGAGATTTGTGCTTTTTTCAGAGATTTTTGCTTCTCATGTTGTCACAATTGTCACTACTTCCAGGAATAACATAACCTTGTGCTCATTTCTCCCATACTTATTACTTCAAGTATACTCTAATAACACAAAAATGCTATAGCTTTTGTCTTCTACGTCACTATACCGTATTGACATAATTGTGCTCATTACTTCCAGTATACTATAGCAATTATGGGTTATGGCCCCGAAGACAAAAGTGCCATTCTGGAGTTGACATACAATTATGGGGTCACCGAATATGATAAAGGAAATGCTTATGCTCAGGTAGACACCGGACCTCTCCCCACCTCTTCTTTTGCTAACATCCCTTCTTCTGTTGTAAAATGGTTTTCTTATGCACGCATGCATAATTTCTCGCGATTTATTGTGTTACTGTGAGAATACCACATGAAAATGATGTATTTTCTGCCAACTTTTCTTCTGACTAATTTTGTGGGAATGGTTTCTTTTTTCTCTCAACAGATAGCAATAGGCACAGATGATGTCTATAAAACTGCCGAAGCAATTAAACTCTGTGGGGGCAAGATTACCCGGGAACCTGGGCCATTACCTGGTCTCAACACAAAGATCACTGCTTGCTTGGATCCTGACGGATGGAAGTCGGTATGGCTCATACCCTTAAGCTTTACGTATAAATGCACCCTGACAACCGAAAGTTGGTTGGCGGCTTATTACCCCATGATTACAAGGTCTCATCTCTCATCTTCATCTTGCAGGTTTTCGTGGATAATGTTGATTTCCTCAAGGAATTGGAGTGAGTTAAAGGTGGCTTACACGTACCCATGCTTGTGATACTGAAACTGAAATCTCGGGCCAAGATGATTCTATGAAGCTGGTTCTCCTGAACGTACGTATTGAATCCCGTTTTGTAGATAAAATTATAATTAGCTTTGAATAACCTTTGTAACAAATATTGATCTCACGATTAGGGTTGCAGACATTGTAAGAAAAAGGAAAACAACAATTAGTTTTGCAGTGGTATTGTTGGTTTGAGATATCGTTATTATTTTTTGGTAATTCACCTGTCACCGTTGCTGTGGGAAGTTATCCTCTCAAAACTTCTGGTCGATTCAGATTCTGCTCAAGCAGTTGTTTTAGTTTCACAGGCTTATATGCATAATGTTCCTCTTGGTTTTTGCTCGCCGGAGACCTTTCCCGGCGGTCTGAGATTAAGCATATTTACTAGGAGATGAATATGGCTGTGTATGGTATGGCCACTTTCGGTCTTTCCTTGGACCCGGGTTGGTGAGAAGTGAGTAGTGACAACATAAACCCTAATTTTGTTGGAATTTGGGTTGGTGGGAAGTGAGTAGGGCGTGTATTTCTTTTGGTGTGAAATTTGTTGCAATCATGGATCACAGAAAAAGGAAGAGAAAGGAATTGGAGAGCTTAAAAATAGGAGACGTAAGGAAAGGAAGTCAGGTCAGTTAGTTTTTCTTTGCCGATCTAATTCTTGATTTTGAGGTATTTGATTACGGATTTTAAAAGAAAGAAAGCTTACAGTTTTCTTATTCATTACTCGTAAGTAAAAGAAGGGAATAGTTAAAAAGGTGAACTGAATCAAAATAATTCAAATTCATATTCCTTGCACGTAAAAATAAGCTGGTCCAACTTAAAATAGAGAAATGCTAAGGAGATTCTCTCAAAAGTTTGACTCTCTGCCATCTCACTTTTTTTACATAATATTTTATAATATTTGCACAATGTTATATATTGTTAGCACATGAATTCTGCAAAAAAATATAAGTTGACAAATAGTTTAGAAAGAGGTCAATTTTGAGGGAAAGAGTTCATCTCTAGATCCCTTCCACCTAATCATCTTCGTCAAACAATACAGGTTATTGAAATTTGATCCATCGGCTGAAATTATTATAACTTTTAGAATGAGCTTCTGTTTTTAATCGTTGAATCAAATTTCAAAAGCCGGGATTATTTGACAAGGGGATTAGATGGAAGGGATATGAAGATCATCCTTTCCATACACTACAGCCAAAGTTTGGCGCGTATAATACCCAAATAGAAGAAGTAGCGTTGCGTGGGGATTTTAAATTACCGTTATTATTTTCCGTTTGTTTCCCGATAAAAATCTAAAATTAAATCAAGGTGTTCATATAAAACCCTAAGGGTGCGTGTTGCGCCGGATTGTCTCGGACTGGACTAGCTGCAGGGACTAAGCTGGACTGGCTTAGACTAGACTAAGCTGGACTAACTTAGTGAAGCGTTTGGTGTAGTGTCGGACTAAGAAACAGGATAATAAAAACAGTATTGTTCACCAGATTTGTGTTTGCTTAGAGTAGGACTACAAATTTTTGCCATTGTGTAATAGAGTAATGCTACAAATCTCATGATATGGGTTAATTGGAGCATATTTTTGCCATGTATATTATGAATCTTAAAAAAAGAGGACAATTGTTTTGTTTCTATTACCTGCTAATAGAATTGGGACATACTATAGTTGGGACATACTATTTATAAATAGTTGAGTTTAATTTGCAAATGTAACTTGATTTAAACTCTATCACCCAAAATAAGAAAAAGAATAGTGCCCAATACATGCAACTTCAACAAATACAAGTACATAAGAAGATAATTGTGACAAGTCAATCTTTGCCATTGATTGACTCTTAAAACATCATTCACTAAACTTTCATCCAGGATATTTTACAAAATGCCAGTGAACTATAGTATAGCATTCCAAAGTAGATCTCCATAATTTACAAAATCCAGTAGCCTTAGCCTTCCGTTTATGCTCCTCTTCTCTGCAACCAACAATCACAGAATATTTCAGCATCAACCCCACACAGTACAAAACATTCACAATGTAATATCATGGTTATAAACCAAGTAGATAACCGTAAACCTCTGTTTAACCAAATGTGCAGAATACACACACACGGACATCAAACAAATGTGCAGAATAGACACACACACACGGACATCAAACCAATATGCCACCAAATTAAACAAGGCCTTAATGTGCTAAAGAAAGGGTTAACTTTTCTAAAAGTCCCTTGTTTGTACTCTGCTTGTACGTTAAACATGCAGGCAAAGAGGACAACATAATGAAGCAGATGGAGAGAGAGGCTAAGCAGCTGACATTTCAGCGCAGACCATCTTTGGACTGTGAAAGTTATCAGCCAAGTGCCCCTTGACAGTTACGTGATGGATAATTAGACATCCAAATTGGAAATAGACTGTCAAATGTCACCCTTCTTTTGATTATCTATCAGTAAATGACAAGCATCTGCAATTCAAAAATTATTCACAAATACCAATTGTTCATAAGTTATTGCTAGAAGATCACGCACACCAATTTCAAGTGAAGAGCATAGCAAATCCATCAGTGCCACTGTTTATGCCTTTGTCTAGTATCCATGCATAAAGCATTAAAATTTCAATTCGATTCGATGGTAAGTGGGAGAAATCACATTGACCTAAGTGTAAGTGGAAGGGTGGAAGCAACCGAGGTTAAGCAGTCACATTCAGTCTGGATGAAGTCTGCATGCATATCACTAACAACGTATCTAACATGGACTCTCCCTCCACATCCCCTGTAAGCTGCAAGGAGGTCATTCCAGCAATTCCGAGGTATGTCTAGTATGCAATTGGCCACATCATTTACTTTTAGTTAGAATATGACACTAGAGAATGATACCAAAGCATGACGGTATACTAATACATCCACGTGAAGCATTATACAATACGAAAAATTGTTAAACTCCGCATGACTTTGTTCATATGAAGTCAATCAGGGAAGTCGTAACTTGTAACCACCGCTTAGGATGCAATTCTAAAGACAAATTAGAAATCTATTACCAACAGTTACATAGGTCTGTCCAAATGAAGAAACAGTTTGGGGATAAAGCTTTAGATAGGGATAGAAGAACAATAAGAAGAATACGGAAAAATAGATTCGGAAGTTTACAAGGTCAGACATCCAAAAGAAAAAAGGAATCACTTTTCTACATGATATACAGACATCGAACTCTTTGACAAAAAAATAGAGACATCGAACTCAAACAAGCTTCTAAATATGAAACAAACACCGGAAACTACGCACGTGAATTGCTTGCCAAACAACAAAAGGATGCTAAAACACATTATACAGATCTGATCGTAAACCTCTGACTAACTGTAAAACCTCAATTCTAACATCAAGTAATTTCATATCCTTCAAAGGGAAATCCAGCACCTTTTATTTTCACATGACTTTTGTGAATTCCTTAAATCTTATATCATTTATTGTAATCTTCAAATGAAATTACGCCATCAGTGGCCTGGTAAGAATCTGGTTACAACTAAGCATGCATGCATAGATTGTATTGAGATTTATCTAATGTGGCTGGTCAAGCAAGGCCCCAGAATCTCCCCGTTGCTGAACAATATGTTGGCATTAATTTGGAAGAAATCCTGTAACCCTATGATTTGTTTTGGTCTTGAGATTTGGATTTATGCAGTTAACTTAGTGACATACAAAAAACAAACCTCCTCTTAAGAATAAGGTTAAGGCTGTGTTTTAGACCTTGGTTATATACGAAAAAGCATCCGGACATCTTGAACTCAACTCTTGCAAGTTCCCAAGGTGGATAGATTCATCTAAGATACTCACATCAATCATGGATGATTCATCTAAGATACTCACATCAATCATCTAGGCATGGCATATTAGTTCCGAAATTATATTCATTAGTTAAACAGCACAAGTTGTATGAACGCAGTCAGTCTGGACATGATTACTGATAGATATTCGATGCTGTCTAACCATAAAGGAAGAGAGAAAGAACAAAGAGTTGTAGAAAGCTGTAAAATGATACTAAACCTGCAAGTTGAATCAGAAAAAGATTCAAACAAATCTAAAAGCCAAAATTATTCACAGGATCACTCTCAAATTAATAAAGAACATGGGAAATGCTAAGGATGTCCAGCAGTTTACATCTTATCATCTTCTCTTAAAATACTACAGATGGGTTCCTCCACTAACACTATAAAAACAAATTTAAAATTACAATTAAACTTAATATTTTCTCTTTTCCTCTCCCTCTTCGTGTTCCCTCTATCCGATGAAAACCAGAAGCGCAAAGCTTCCTAAAATTCTAGCCATTTACTCATCACTTCCCAAAAACCACATATACGTTTTAATCTGACAACTATGAATACATATTCAAACTGGGTAAAAGTAGGACAGAAACATACCCAAAAAGTAACAGTGGCGTTCAAAGTTTACAGCAGCAATTTCGTGATGATTATCATCATTTTGGTACTCAAAATGGCATAAAATGTGAAAACCCCAAATTCTAATCTCAATTTGACCCTAAAAATCAAAAACCTAATTTGTTCAAGTGCAGAGGTCTATAATTCAAAATTTCTCAAACTCAAAACACCTAAATCAAATAAAGCCCAGTAATATCACGATCTGCAAAAAAAAATATAATGTCGGATTCGAAGTTTACCAGATGAGGGCGAGCAGGATGGAGTTGAGGGCGAGTAAGACGCAGAGATGATGATGAGGAGGACGACGATGAGGGAGCAGGGCAAGGAGGGAGCACGTTGAGGATCGAGGTTGAGCGAGGTTCTCTCTCGCAGGAGCGCAGGAGCGCAGGAGGTCTTACAAGTCCGAGGGTGATCGGGGTGCTTCGCTTAGAACTCCTAGTGAGGGGTTTAATCCTAGCGAGTCAGACCTAATCCCATTAAACCTAATCCTGGTGCAGACCAAACAAGGGACTGTAGTCTAGTCCAGTCCAGTCCTCCCTAATCCTGTCAAACAAACGGGCCCTAAACCTTCATATAAAACCAATTAAAATTCCCCATTCCCTCTCTCTCACCCTCCCTCCTTCCTTCGACCTAAGAACCTCTGAAAGACTCTAACTTTACTCCGCTTCTGCTAAGAAATTCCTTTTTTGGCCATGTCCAGCTCACAGAAAGAGAAGAAGTGCGCAGAGGAGCGCGAACAGCAACATGGGCAGATCAGTAATAAGAAACGGAAAGAGATTTTCCCCTACGGAAACTACAAAAGCTACTACGGCTATCGGGTAAGTCGAATCCCCTCCTTCCCCCACAATTTTTAACTTTTGAATGTTGTTATTGCTCTGATGGGTTGTCAGGGAAAACTTAAACAAGTTTAAAGACAACTAAAGGTTCGATTTTTTGTTTGGGATTTTCTGGGTTTTTTGTTTATTTGGTTGTTTGAAGCGGATATTGAAGTGGGGTTTATGTATAATTGAGTTTAAGGTGTTTTGTCAAATTTGATTAAAATTTTGGTATTTCGTTCGAGTTTATGTGGGAATTGGTGTTCTGGATTATCAATGCAGTGCATTTGTGAAGCTTCTAAGTAGTCGGATTGATATTATGGATACTGTTTGGATTTATGGTTTGAAAATTTCTTAAGCTAAATTTCACCCATGAATAGTGTTTTAAAAAACGCGGCTAGGCGGCTTTGGAGGCGAGGCGATGATGAAAACACCTTTGCCCAGCGGAAGTTGGCTTAAACTCGCCTGGACATGGTCCGACTGGGCCTTTTTTTTAATGGAGACTTGGCAATGAAGAAGATGGTATTACCTTTGATTTAGATGAAGAGAATTTGGATGAATGATTTCTTTTTTTTTGTATGTTTGTGAGATAAACTTGTTTGTGACTTGTGCACTTTTGAATGACAATGGATATTTGTTTTCTCGATAAGAATGTGGAATCTTAGTGCCTTTATATTGTGTTTTAGATTGGTCAAGAAATGGAGGAAGATGCTAGATTGAAGGTTTTCAAGAAGGAATGGTTCGAAGGAAAGGATTGTCTTGACATTGGCTGCAATTCTGGAATCATGACCATTCAAATTGGTACTTTTCTCTCAGTTTAAATCGTATTTGAAATTTATGTTTTACGAGTTTGTTGATTATACTGTATCGTCTCTGTTTACCAAACGGGTTGACCAAATAAGAATAACGTAGAGTATAGATCGCCATGGAGTTCTGAAATTTCAGATTTTTCTACATCTAAGAAGTAACGAGGTATTGTCTATCCATCGACCATTGAAGAGTAGTACTCCCAGAACAAGTACCTCTCATGAGACAACTGGTGGATGTGATTCCCCTGGTCACCCCGGTTTTTTGTTTATGCCTGTAACATTGAGCTCTAGTGAATGTGATTCCCATATCTGATAGCTCACATTAGCATTGGGTTTCTATCTGTTTATTTTAGGGAACTTTAACGAAAATCTTCCGATACTGTTCATTTTAACAAAAAACCATATTTTTACACTAAAAAGTCAATTCTGGTATTATTCATTTTAACCTTTATTTTGTCCTTGTCGTTAAAACTCATAGTTTTCAAGTCATTTTCATTAGTTTTCCTTTTATTTTATGCAAAATTTGCGTCTTGACGCGTGCTTTTCTATACGCAGTCATAACGTCGCATTTGCTAGTATAACATTACATTCCTTAATGTGTTGTTCTTGAATACAGTTTGAGCGTGTCGAAATGGATTCATCTGAATTGGGGTGACGATGGATTGATTACATTATTTACAAGGGTTTGGAGTCTACTTCGTCTGGTAATTCTCATAACCATTGATATGCCATGCTTGTTTCGTTTTTCTTTTCTCGCCTTCTGTCAACTAAACATGGAATTTTAGTTTAAGATAATCTTGATTTATAACGTCCCCTAGTAATTCTCGCCTTCTGTCAACTAAACATGGAATTTTAGTTTTAAGATAATCTTGATTTATAACGTCCCCTAGTAACATGATAACCTTGCGGAGAAAAGCATGACGAATTTTTCTTCGTGTGAGCAGGGCGGAATTTTTGTGTTGGAACCTCAACCTTGGACGTCCTACGAAAAGAATTATCGAGTTTCTGAGGTAATCGTCTTTTATGGCATTTGTGACTTTTCGAGTTTTAGGTTTCATTGCTTTACTTGTTCCGTTGTGCAGACAACTAAAGAAAATTATAGAAATCTTATGTTCTATCCGAAAGATTTTCAAGACTTGCTTCTGGATAAAGTATGTTCAATCGTCTTATATAGTTCGAATCCAGATGATATTTTTGCTAACAATCGGTTAAGATCTGGGAATATCTGATACTCAATATGATCACAGATAGGATTCAGAAAGGTGGAGGACATCGCTTCAAGCGTGTCGGGCAGCAAAACCGGATTCAACAGACCAATTTTAGTGTTCCACAAATGACGTACCCGGTAATGCAGCTCCGGAAGTAGGGCTGGTTGTTCCGTCTGAGAAGCCGTTGTTTATGTGCCAATAGATGGAACATGTTCTGTCCCAATTTTGCATCTGCTTCCAATATTTTGTACATATACATTATAATGCATAAGCGGGTTACCAATTTTGAAGAAAATTTTATGTTTTACTCCTCTTTACGTACTGTTTCACGATGGCGGAAAGGTTCGTCAACCACTCCCACGCGTGAACTTTTGATGTCGAAATGCATTACAGAACCAGATTTACAGCTTAAATTTGAAGTTTATAAGGAAACTGAGACTGGGAATGGTTGAATAAGGAGCAAACAATCATAGTACCCGTTAGAAACGAATGATGAGGAGATCCATGGTGTATGATAGGCGATTCTTGGCTGTCATGGACCTCCCGCTTCCTATACATAATTTGTATAGGAAAGGGGAGATATGTCCTCGGGTGTACGCTAGAATCCCCCGTAGATGAGGTACTTGACCACCAGCACCAACATCGCCATATATGCACTCTTCTAGTTCAACGGATGTCCCTGAAACCCAACAAACGAATACCACTTTAACAAATAAGCCTCCATTGCCTTAAGTAAATATATAAAAGAAAAACAGACTCCACTCCAATGTCACACAACGGCCATTAGTTTATACTCAAGCAAGGGAAAGTTAAATTGCAAAGATCAACGATTTTGTTTAAAGACGAAAATATTGAACAATCCTGGGCAGTCCAATACGATCTATAGTTCAAGCACATGTATGATCGTTTAAAACGTTGTATGTCTGTGTGTGACTGAGATCAATTAAATGATTAGCAGAGAGAGAGAGAGAGAGAGAGAGAGAGAGAGAGAGAGAGATGCGTACCTTACCATGGACATCCAAGAAGCGGAATAGGAATTCGAGTAATTTGGGGAAGAAATCTGTCATACCTGCCAAAAGACCTTTATATAACATAAGTGCCTCTCACCTGTTTTCTGCATTTTTTCAACTTCTCACAAAGTTTCAAAAATATAGCCGAAAACATGTGAAAATGTCAAATAGAAATGTTTGGTTCCAATAACTTAGTTACACACACAAAAAGTAAAAAACAGGTCTATCATAAACCAATCAGCTCCTGAAGCTGCTTCATTCGAAAAGCAAATTTATTGCAGACGAATTTTAGGAATCTTAAAATAAAGAAACACTGTAAATAAACATCAAATGGCATGGAGACTACGTATTATATAACAACAATGAAAAAAAATAGCATCACACATCATTTGTGTTACGATAAAAACTTAAATACAAGACACGGCTGTGTCACTTATGAGAACTATGTACAGCACAGAATCCAAGCTTTGGGTTTTCTGTATCTTGTAACCAACGCATTTTTAGTCGCCTTATGGAAAAAACTAGCACAAACCAAGGAACTAACTCAATGTCTACGAAGATGCGTCCGTAATATCTTCCTGAATAGACACATTGCATATTTGACAATTAAATCACCGTCCATCTGCAGCTTCAAAGATGTGCTCGAATGTTATAGAGCAAACCTGTTGCTAAAACACAGCGGAAAGCACCCGGTCAACAATAATGCTTAAGAAGATAGATGAGAGCATTAGCCGCAATTACAAAAGCAGCCAACCAAATGATGACCCCATGTATGAATAAAATGAATTACCATAAAGGTCATTTGGCTGAAGAGATGCGCTGCAGTGATTGAATCCAGCTACTCGAAGGACCTACTTTATTGCCATGTCCATGACCAGTGTTTGTAGCTTCAGCGGGCAAAAGACGTTTTGTGTGGTTCCTTCTTGAGGTGCCGGAAAATGAAGTAGACGGAGGAGGGTTTGCTTCATTCGCAATCTAAAAAGGGAAATTTTTATCTGTGAGTTATATTCGAAACTAAATTTTGAACAATGTAACAGAGTAATGATACTTCATAAAAGGAGTGAGAAGACAAAGTATCTTTTTATCTCAGTAGTTATTGGACAGTAATATGACTTACATTCTTTTCAAGAGGGTTGTCATAACTTAAATTCCTGCCCGTTGTTGGAGATTTAAATTGCATGCGGACACCAGAACCAGTGGGATTGCTTGATCTAATTCGATCTGTGACCTCAGCTGGATATGGAGCACTAGCACCTCCTGCCACTGACAATCAACAAGGAAAATGTAATTTCTTTAAAGCAACTGATATCGTAAAGTAATTTAACCTGATATCTCCCATATATTGTGACTAGAGAAGTCAGTTATTTAAGATATGCAAAAGTTTTCACTCAAGGAAAATGCTCGCTCTGCTGTACTAGAAAAGTCAGTTATTTAAGATATGCAAAAGTCCATCACGAAGATCTAACCTTGATGATTATCTACACGCACTGGCATTGCATGACTGTTGCTTCCTCCAGGAACCGGCTGAACATGTGGGACTTCAAATTAGAAGCACAGCAGTAATCCAATGTTCTCAGAGTCATACAAATAAAAAATCTGAAAATACTGAACAGCAATTGCACTTACAGAATCATTCTTTTGTGTTTGCTGGTACTTAATGATGGTCCAATCAAATACGTAATCAAATTCATACCCTGCCATTTGGAGACAAACATCCAGAATACCGAATCCGCATCAAAATAGTATATGACATAATTTATCATATGGGAATTTTAGGTAAGGGAAAATTTGGGAAATCAAACATATGAAAGCACATTGACTTCAAGCTAAGAGGACCTATGCAACGTGAAGAACTTAATTTACAACAGATGAAAAAAACAGGAAAGTTTGAACACCAATACCTTCACGAGAAAACAAATCACGGAATAGGCGTTTCAAGAAACCATAATCAGGTCGCTGATCAAATGTCAGTGAATGGCAGTAATGGAAATATGACGCGAACTCCACCGGGTGAGATTTGCATAGAACCTTTAGAAAACAGCAGTCAGACCAGTTGACACCAGATAAAAATTTCAAAGTGCACAGAGTAGTTGACACAAACCTCAATAGGGGTTGATAACTTCTTCTCACAAATTTTATCATATTTTTGCTTTTTTGTGGCAGCTTTTAAACCCTGCCACGGAAGGCTATAAGCAGGAAAAGTAAAATCGTCAGGGGACAAGGGGGGTCGAAACATAATATGGCATGAACAATATATCATTGGGTTCTCCTACTGTATAAGTTTTTCAATTCCTTTCTACAAATTAAAAGCAAAAAATGGGTGGAAACAGAATAAGTACCTCCCTCTGAGAAAATACAGAAGAACATATCCAAGAGACTCCAAATCATCCCGCCGACTCTGCTCTAAGAACAAAACAATAAATAAGGTTAATGAGTATTTATGCCAACAGATTACAAGATTTTAACACCGAGCAGCTTACCAATTCCAAGATGAGTATTGCAGCTTGCATAACGTGCGGTTCCTGTTAAGTTCTTATTCTCCCTGTATTAGGCAAGTGTTAAAAATAGTAATATAAAGCAATATAATACTAAAAAGGTTGCATGTTATATTTCAATTGTTCCTCGAGCGTCTCAGCACACAGAGAAGAAAATGAGAGATCGTCTTGATATGAAACTGGAAATACCTGTATGGGATGTGACGATTGGTTGTCGCTTCTCGATATCTTTTCGCAAGACCAAAATCAATTATGTAAACCTAATAAGATAAGTGAAAACAGATTGATGGCAATATAAACTCGAAATACATCTTAAATGATATAAAGACAACGAAGATGCATCACCTGATTTGCTTTTCGACCAAGACCCATGAGGAAATTATCAGGTTTTATATCTCTGTGCAGAAAACCTTTCGAGTGCACAAACTCTATCCTCGTAATCTTGATACGAGCGCACATAAACATTGTATCATTCAGTGACATGAAGAATGCAAATTACAATAGTGAAACTCAATAAAAGTAATGAACTTTTTCTTCGAAAAATTTTCAACTTTCACAAAGGGAAGAAAATTCATCACGAAAAATTGTAACTTTCATAACGAAAATGATCTGAAAAGAGTAAGGTAGTAAAGTAGATTAACTATACGCGAACATGTAATATAACGCATGAGCTGCGCTGCGTAAGCTTCAGTTAAACCCCGTCACAATGTATTACCATTTGATCAGCAAGCATTAAGACGGTCTTGAGCGAAAACTTTCTCCCACAATACACAAACAAATCCTCAAGACTCGGTCCCAGCAAATCGAGAACCAGCACATTGTCCTCGCCGTTGATTCCCGACCATTTTATGTTCGGAATACCGCCTGAACAATTACATACACTCAAATTAATCAAAACAGTAACGCTCGGTTGCTCACAGAAACACTAAACCAATAAGTACTAATATAAAATATACGTATTCGTATACGTATACGTATACAGCACGTACTTCCTCCTTGAAGGATTTTATATAATTTCGCCTCGTAAAGCAGCTGTGGATGCTTCGTTTGGCTGTTCTCCTGCATTGACCAGAGATTAAATCAACTTAATTACTTGAATTAACTAGTAATTAAGCTAAAAAAAATGCTTCTTCGCTAATTAAGTAGGCAAAGACTTCAAATTTGATGACAATTGAAGTGCATAAACATAAATTAAATTAAAAAATCAGTAATTTCAACTGAAAATCGAGAGAAAAAAAAACGGAGAGAGATAATTAGGAGCTTACAATCTTAACGGCGACGATCTCGAACGTCTCGGTGTGAGTAGCTGCAAACGAAATTCAAACAATTCAAAGGATTCAGCCACTGTTTCTACGATCAACGGCTCAGATTCAACACGACACTCACCTAGGAAGATTTCGCCGAACGATCCGCTGCCGATCTTGCGGCCGAGCTTGTACTTGCCGCCGATGACCCGCTCCATGTCCGAATTCCCGGATCGGGTCACTCAACTCATAGACTTTCGGATTTTGAATCCGAATCGGAAACCCGAGAAATCGAGAAGAAAAAAATTTAGTTTTCGAAATTTGGATTTTTATACGTTGGAACTGAACAACTGAAGCCACACAGGCGAGTTGTTGACTTGTTATGGCATGGATAAAGAACGAAAGTAGAAGGGTAGTTTCGGAACTTTGGGTTGGTGGAGGGCCGTTGACTTGTTGACTTTGTAGAGATTTGTGTCGGAATTGGACAGAGATGTTTTCTTTTTTTTCTCTTTTTTTTCAAATGATAACTTTTATTAAAATCTAATAGAAACATTTATATTTTTAGAGCCGAAAATATGAAATAAAATTTTCAAACTAAAAGTATTTCAACGGAAAACACTTTTATGCGAAGTAAGTAATATACGAGGTTACAGTATAAACAACGTAATTTCATTCAACTTGACAAACACAAACCTAACCCTTCGGACAGAGAGTTTTGGAGATTTTGGTTTTTGACTAAGGGTATTGTCGTCAACTCGTAGTTTTACTGCGAAATGCGTCCGTGTCAGTTCGGTAAATAAATTGGTAGATGGCGGGTAAATCTGGGAGTGTGGCCACGTGATTCCCGGGCAGGTAAATTCCTCTGCCGTCGTTTGTAGATTCCTTTCTAGATGCGCGCTCTGATAGGTTGTACCTTTTTTCTGATTGGGGAAGAAGCGTTGGTGTTGTAGGAAAAATATGGAAGCGTTTGCAGAGGATCTTGATTTGCCGCCGTCGCGGTCTTGTTTTATTGCCAACTAGATTTGGTCACGTGGACCACAACATGCTGGTTTACAATGCTACCCTTCAATTTAGGTTTGGGGATTCGATGTTTGAGGGAATATTTTTGGCGACGAATTTCAATTGACGGCAATGTCTCCAATCGTATTTATCTGGTTGTACGAATTTAAATTTTAAAATTTATGTATTGGATAAATACAAATTTTAAAATTTAAATTAATTTAAAAGTAATAACCCTACAAATACTATCACTATTAAAAAGTGGTGAACAAAAAAATACACCTGAAGTTTGAGGCAATCAGGTAATAAATTGTTTTGATCAGTAGTCTAATTCACATTTTCGAAAATAAAGAGAGTGGTGCTATTCACTCATTCATTTTTACTTCTTACTCATCTTTTTATTCTCTGATTTTCGAATCGAATAAATTGAAAGAAAAAAAAACCTATTAAGAGTTTGTGGGACCTAAAAAAAATTGGGTGAACGGCACCACCCAAAACAGTCACCCGTATAAGTTATTACACAACCGAAATAACGAATCGTCCAATGCGGCATCGTTTTGTTGCATTTAGTTGTAGTTTTTGTTGATTTCCCACCACCGGACCATACGGGTCGACTCAAGTAGCTGCAACACAGAGCAGAGACTCACAGAGAGATCAGATCAACGCCGATGATCGGAGACGTCGAGAAGATGATCGGAGTGGGCCTCGTTTGGGGGGCCACCAACGCCCTAATGCGCCGCGGCGCCCTCCTCTGGGACCAAGCCCTCAAATCCTCCTCCTCAGCCCAGGCCCGTGCCCAGCCCGGCCCAATCCACCACAAGCTTCTCGCCTCCCTCACGAGCTGGCTCAAGCTCCTCGCAATTTGGCAGTACACAGTCCCCTTCTTCGTCAACCTCTCCGCCTCCGCTACTTTCTTCGCCATACTCAGCCACACTCCGATCTCCCTCGCCGTCCCCGTCACTAATGCGACAACGTTTGCCGCCACCGCCGTGTTTGGCTTGCTCTTGGGGGAGCAGACCCACCTCGGCCTCGCTATGTTCGGTACGGCTTTGATTGTTTTAGGCATTTGGCTTTGTATCAATTAATTGGATTTTCAAATTTTGCATAAACTTTATGCATAGATTAGCTTGTTTTGTTCGATTACAGAATGTTTGAGTGTTTGGCTGCTGAGAAAATGAGGGAAAATCAAGTGGAAATTTTTGTCATTTTATTAATACTTGTCTTTTCTCTGAAATTTATTGATCTGAGGAACTGAAAAGTAAGAGAATGTGAAATTTATTCTGTTAAATATCCGTTAGATTACTTGTGTTGCATAGCAAGCTTGATTTGTTTGATTAAAATCGAGTTCCAAGGGGCATAGTTAGCTTGATTTGTTTGGTTATTGATGTTTGAGTGTTTGGCTGCTGAGAAAAGAATGGAAAATCAACAGGAACTTTGTCGTTTAATTGATACTTTTTTTTCTCTGAAAGTTTGTAACTTTATAGATCCATGTAACTGGAATACAAGTAAAAGAATGATACAAAACAGCAGAATACAACATAATTGAAAAATCGAAACAGATAAAAACCGCGAGGAAATTTTATTTGTCATTTGTGAACTGGAAGAGGAAAGCCAATTAAGGCTGCAGAATCAGTCGTCTGGTTGAAACCGGATTCGGGTTTCTTTCTGTAGCTTGATTGCCTAGCCTCAAATCAGAATTGTTGTTTAGAACATTCAGGTGGCATGTTTCCATTGAATCGTTTATTGTCTTTGCAGTAGTCATAGATCATGTAGTTATTCCTGACCCATTGCAGCTGGCCGAGCTTACTGTTGCTCAGCTGGCTGTATATAGGGGAAGTCCACCAGTTAGCCCGGGAAGTGGCGGCACATACACTAATGCTGGCAGCTCCATTCCACTTGCAGGCTCTTGCCCTGAAGTGTTTGAATCCGGCTGTGAAGGGCGCACCGGTCCAATTTATCTTCTCTAGCCCACCTCTAGTTGCCCAGTTATCAGCATTCCATAAGCTGGAGTAAACCCTCATCCCTTGCTTATTGGGGTAAGCAATCCCCTGGTTCTCGTAGTTTCGGAAAACACGAATGGGCAAACTATCGACATACCACCTGAAATCATAAAAGTGAATTGAAGTTTAGAAATTGTTTGGTTCCATGACTCATAGAACCAAGGATGATTTCTTTTCACCCTGTTGAGATTGAAAGCAAAGGCGCCTCGGTCGTTAGTTAACTTACACAACTTCAGTAGGGTTCCAATGTATGGTGTAGTTGTGGAAATCAGCGGTCGGGTCAAACCAGAGGTAAAATTGCTGCTCTTTGCTTCCATTTCCTTGTGTATAAATGTTTGTGTGGACAATGTAAGGTTGTCCAGAAACGTTCCCTAGGAATTCAAAATCTATCTCATCGTGTTTGGTTCCTGTTGACGATAGCTGCACAAATTCGAGTATGAACAAATTAGCACACGTTAGTTTATTCTGTAGGTCCCTGGAATTGGGGATTCATTGTCAACGAAAAGAGATTATCTCGCTCTGGTTTTTTTTCGGTGTTTTTATGAGCTATCTATCTTGCTTCAGTTAGTAATTAACTTACATAGTAGGCTGTTACTGTCCCGGCGGAATTCCCAGGTACCAACTTTATCAGCATCTCGATGCTTCCGAATAAGAAATTTCTCTTTGACATAGCAGCAGACCCTGCAAAGCAAAGGCAGTATTAATGTAGTCTGGTTAGAGGAGATAACTTGATCGTTACGCATTTATTTGCTTCGTTTTCTTTGATCTAAGCACGTAGAGCACGAGAAATCTAAGGAGTAAGTTGTTCTAACCTGAAGTTTGATCAAGCACGAGGTTAAGATTCTCGCCTTGAATCGCAGCGTGTTGGGTACCCCAGGTGAGGTACATGCTCTTTGCAGCAGTTGCATCAGCTACATTTTGATGGAACACGGTGATGCATAGAGCTACCAGGAATGCTTGCAAAACTGCCATTTCAACTTCAGTCCCAACTAGATTTGCCTCTTTTTTCTAGGACACCAATTTACTTGTTGAAATTGGGGTCGATCGATGCGTCTTGCTTTGGATTCTAGATGCCTTTATATAACTTTTTGTTTTGCAGTGTGCAAAATATGCCCTCCTACGACTACGTCATAGTTCTTGACATTCTAATTGTAGAAGAAAACGTTGAAGCATGCTCCTCATAAGTCAAAACTTACCAATTATATTGCAAATACATTTTTAATTTATTTCTATTCAAGCGATATTCTAATAAATTTAAACTAGGGGAGGGGGATCCAAACTTGAATATAGAGGAGGGGAAGAAACAAAGATGAATAACTGAAAAACAAAATCTTAAAAGTGAGTTTTCTTTTTTTTTTGGGCAACAAAAAGTTAAGTGGGAGATTGGTTATTCTCAATACCAACGTCATAGCATACCCATAAGCTCAAGCACGAAAAACTCACGCTTGGCACCCAACTACCAGCTGCCAAGGGTATGAATTAAATTTACGTAAGAATTTACAGATTGCGCACTAACAAAAACTGTTGGCAGTGAGACTCGAACCTAGGTGGAGCGACACACAAGGCAGGAATATAACCGAGCCAACCCTCGTTGGCATTTTTCATTTTCATTTTGTGACCACACGACATAATTTTCCAACGTCGATTTCGTTTCTCTCATATATTTCTCATATATCTATAATGCAAAAAATAAACATAAAACTAAAAACGAAATGACGATAAACACTAAAATTATTGATTAATACGTTTGACTTCTAATTATTTGTTCATTTCCAATGTTTTCGTGGGGTCACGGTGCAAATGTCATAGATGTTGTAAGAGTAGGAGAGAATGGGTGTCATTAGCTGGGACGCAGTGCGATTAGGAATTTAGGAGAAAATCGTGCGTGGGACTAATGCTAGTAGTGGGGACTGCTGGGCTGGCCAGCTGGGAAATGACGAGTTCATAATTTGCTTGGCCGGACGTGCAGCCCTGCAGAGAGGTTTCATACAAAGTTCTCAACTATTTATATATTTGGTGCTTCTAAGGTTTGTTCAAAGAATTCGATCAAATAGTTCCCTTTTGCCTGGTTGAGCCTGCACGGCTTGGCGCCTGCTGTGAGCGACAGAAGAAAGATGATTCGCGTGAAACTTCTTCTAGCATTTTAATTGTCATGTTCATCCTCTCAAACATATTTTGTCAAGCATCAACTGCTTTTTCTTTTCGGTTATAAATTAAAGATAATCTATATTTTAGTTATTAATCATGAGCAAAATAATCATAAATACTAGTGTTTGCGGTAACCGACCCTTTAAAATTAATGATTAAGAGTATCCTAATAATAGATTGGGGTTATATGTACCCGTTTAACCTTAATATATAAACAGACAGTCACAAGTAATATTCACGAGTAACCACGGGCTGCGAGCAAATAAAACTTACCATTTTTGTTTTGGTGATCAAAAGGGTACGAAGAAATTTGAGAAAATATTTGAAATCACTTTTTGTTTTTCATTTTTCTTTGAATATTTTTCTCTTTGGAAAGGTAATATTTAATGAAAATTGTGATTTGAACTCGAATGAAATTTCAAAATGGTGAGAATGTTACACTAATCAACAACTCGATTCTAGTTAACTAAAATTTTTGTTTGGATAAGCATAATGGTATCGAGTCATCCGAAAGTTTTTTTTTTTTTGTGGTTGAAGAGTCATCCAAAAGTTAGCCCACAAGCTTAATAGACTTTGGACTTTAACTTTGATAAATAGTGTTTGGTAATTTCGTTATAAATTTGAACACCAATCACAGCATCAATATTTGCTTAGCAAACTTAATAAACTTGGACTTTAACTTTGATAAATAGTGTTTGGTAATTTCTTTATGTACTTCAAGGTTTGATGTTTTGTTTTTGACGTACATCGATCAAAGTTAATATGACAAAGCAAATTAAGAAAAGAGAAAGATATCATGGTATAATCAAAATAATTAAATAATTTTGATTTAAACATGAGTGAAGCAGGCGATCATGAAGCTAGGAAATTAAGCCAGCCCTAATTAATTACAGAATCTGCACCCAAATTCCCACGCTAGGCACACCGCGATAGGCCACAAAAAGCAGGTAGTACCCTGGCGGAGCGAACACGCTCGAACGTGGCGCCACCACTTGAAGCTTGTAAACACCCCGTGCCACGTTCTTCAAGTCATTCTTTCCCAAAATAACCAACCTCTGGTTCATCGAGAACCCGTGAGTCGTGAAAGGCGGCGCGTACATTGTCACCTTGATGTCTGCAATGGCCACGGGGTTGTCTTGGAGCTGAAACTGGACGTTGAATGGCTTGCCGTACTTCAACTTGATGTCGGAGTTCTTGTCCATGATGGCCGGGCGGTGGATAGCCAATGCCGGGTCCAGGTAAGGCGGCGAGAAGTGCTCGACTCTCATCTCAGTTGGGTACTTGGCCTGGAACTGGTACCCTGGGTTGGTGTTGCTGCCTGCTACAAGGATTTTGCCATTAGGGAGGAGTGCGGAGGTTGAGTGGTACATTCTTGCAATCAGAGTCGGTTGCAGGTTCTTGAATCGGTTTCCTGGTTTCTTGTTGGGACTGTAAAGCACAGGAGTGAAGTTGGGTTGCTCTGCCATAGTCCAAGCTGACACACCTGTTGGAATAAATTAGGTTTACAAATTGCTGTGTTTATTTTGCACCACTTATTGTTATTGTTCTTTTGACAGACTTATGTTACTTGATATATTAGAAATTTAGAATTTGGTCCTTAGTTTTAGATTAGATTTTCATTACGGTTCGTAGGGTACAAGTAAATTGTTATAAGGATTGCATGTATGTTTAGGGTTTTTTTTAAGTTATGAAACTACTTCTGGAAAAATGAAAGGACCTTTACGTCAGAGAAGCACTCCCCCAATTGCATTAGAAACACTTAAGCTTTAGTTTAAAAGTGATTCTAACAAAAATATTTTTAACAAAAGTGCTTATAGATGAGTGTTTTCCTCTTTTCGTTTGGAGCACCAAGACAATCAGCGTAAATGTTTTCTACCGAAGTAATTCCAAGCAAGCCATCATTATCATAATAACTTACCGCTAATCAAATGACGTAAATCAAACTCTAATTTAACATCCGAACTTAATCAAGAAAACCTTTTTAATTACCAAAAGATGAAAATCTAAAAACCCCAGGGAAAATAAAGTTCAGAAAAACCTTTACGAGATTGAGGCAAGCATACCTAGTTGGGCACCGTTAATAAGCAAGAGGTCTCCGGTTGGGAGGATAAGTAGATCTCCCATGACACGGCGAGAGGGCATTTTTTCCTTAACCCACTTAGGGTTAGCGTCTGTAATCCGAAGCCTGGCACAATCTTGCAACGCGGGAATGAACTTCTGCTTGCCTGCAAGGGCATAAGCCTCGGGCTTAGCACCACCGCAAACAATGACCTCGGCAGGGACGAGCTGAGGGTTGGGGACACTCAGGTCTATCGGCAGCAGGGCTGACATCCCTGATGCCGGGTAGTTTCGCGATCCACCACCCAACACACGGAACTCTTTGATTACTTTGTTGGTCTGAGGGTTGAGCAGGACAGAGCGGCGGTTGGCGAGGATGAAAAGGTTGCCATCTGTCGAAAGGTGGACGAAAGGATAGAGGTTGTTTTCGTCTAGGTCGGTGGTTTCGTCGAGCATTGGAAAGAAGATGGCTTGCTTGTTGACTTGTCCTTCCCGTGGAACGTACTCAAAGCTGTATGCCTTGCGGCCACCGACTATAATGAATCTACCGTCAGGCAGGGTAACTTGTGTTGAATACCTATGATTTAAACAACAAAAATCTTAATTAACACTAAACAATCGTTTGTTTGAAAGTATTTAACTTAAACTAATGTTTCGAGGTGTTTTAGTGGAAACCCTAAACCCATTCTTGGTGCGCGAGAAACTAATAGGATTGTCCAATAATGTATACTACCATCTTGGTTCTGCCAAGGCGTCGGGGAGATCCCTAAAGTCACATGTGGGGCATGCATCGAAGTATCTAACACTTCTAGTTCCATCCAACCAACCACCGGTGCTTATAAACCTACCATCGGCGGTCAGCCCTCCTGATGAACACCATGGGTCTGTAAGGACCTGTTTATATATCACCACCGTCATTGTAGCCCGTACTTGGAAATAGATTCGTAAAAATGAAAAACTCAAAACCTTATTTTTGAGCGTTACGAGCATGGACTGTATAGCAACATAAATGCTTATGTATGGTCGAGATTCACAATCAACAAAACGTAAGCCTTTATACGACACCAATATAAGTCTGATAAAAAAAACTTTATTCATGTTGTAATATATGCATAACTTGAACGAGTGCAATGTGCATGTGATCCGAACCTTTAGCGGCCTGACTGCATTGGTTTGAACATCATATTCAACTGCATGAGACCAACAATCTGTTAACTGCTCGCCCTTGTCATTCGTGAAGGGTATGCATTGTCCGTTAGGCAATTTGAGGTTGGAAATACGGAAGGCAGTGGCATCGTACATCAGGATCTTGTTGTTGGGGAGCAAATTCAAATGCATGGCCGATACGCCTGAGTCCAATTGAACAACTTGCCACGCCCCAGTGAATAGGGTTGGGAAGTCATGTGAAGGTACATCTGCTGCTGGCTTGCCAGGCTGAGGAACACCGGGAAATCCCGGCAGGTCAAGCTTGGGACGCACGGCACGCTTCTTATTACTGTGGAAGTCTAGCCTGCTGTGTTTAAGATCAACAGCGGGCTCTGCCCTACCGGCAGTAGGACCATGATGGGGCTCTGGCCTATCAGGCCTTGGATCAAAGCCTTCAGCTGAAGTAAAATCCGCGCCCTCAATTATGCGGCCATTGCCATCTCGTTCATCGAAACCCAAGGGGTGGAAGGAAGGGAATTGAGGGAAATGAGGCAAATGAGTAAAATGAGGTTCTGCGTCAATCCCATTAATTACAAAGAGGAGAGGGAGAAAAATGAGAAGCTTGTAATGCAAGGCAGCCATTGAAGAACTCAAAATTTCTCCAATAGCTCTTCAATTTCCTTGCTTTGTGCTTCTCTGTTTTCATTCCCAGCTTAA